ACGAAAAGAGAAAAGTAAAGAGTATACTAATTAAAAAGAGAAGGAAACTTTGTTAATCTAAAAATATGCCTGGCGTTATCACTGGGCGGCAGCGGAATTGGGTACGAAATAGTCTTGCTGATTTGGATCGTACAATCTTTCGTGATAGTGCTAACAGCACCGATGAAAATGACGGTAAGTTAGCTGCAATTTTTAAATTTATTTTCAAGCTCTCAATACTATTTTTGATTTCTATTCTTGTCTTTATTGTTGCTTATTTTTATTTTGTTGTGATGAAGAGGCAAGATTTATCAGACCGATTAGACGACAAGAAACTCTGGTATACGTTACAGTTATTGCTCAGTTAAACAGCTCAAAATTTGTTCTGCTAATTTTTGAAGTTGAATAGATGTGTAGAGCATAGTTGATCAATGAAGCAAACAACTTTTTTGACAAACTTTTTTTTGTTGATTTGGTAGTATGATTATGTAAAGCAGGGAAACATTGATTTACTCAAGACGTTTAGTGGTATACCAGCTGTATAATAGGTAAGGGTTGGTGATTTGGTGGTAGGAAATGAAATATGAGGGTAAAATGAATTGATGATTGAAAAGCGACATAAAAGACTAAGTGAATGACAGCAATATACATAATTGTTAATAAATTCTTTTGAAAGAAGTTTATTTTTTTTTTACGTTTTTTTAAAACTTAAAAAATATCATTCTTCTTTTTTTTCTCATATCTGTGGTAACTTTTCTCGCACTGATACATATTTAGACGCATATGTTGAATAAACAATGATCTTTTTTGTTGCTTAAACGAATTATTAATCATCGACAACAGAAACAAAAAAAATAAAAAAAAATTTTTGCAGTAAAATATTTGCAAAAGATAAATGCTGTGCGCTCACTTTCGGAGCGTAAAGCGACAGGAACAAGGGTGAGCAAGAACAAGCTTGACACTTGTCTTTATATGATTCGTGATCTGGCAAGATCAAGCCGGTATTTATTAATTTCTTGATATTTTCATTTGTTAAGTTTTCAAGTAACTCATCAGTCTGTAAAATGTTTGATGCTAATAAAGTTAGTTTTCTTATTTTGCATAATGCAATCTTTCTGAAACTGTTCTGAGAAGTAGAAAAGTAGTTAATTTTAACAATTTTGAGGGTGACTGCTGATGATATTCATGAGTTTCGTAGACGTGTACTCGCAATTTTTGAAGACGGTGGAAGTGAAGCTGGTAATATGGCTGAACTGAAGGACATTACAAAGCTCATCAATGCTATTCCACTGGGTCAGTCTTAGTGATCAATTAACAGGGTCAATTCCGTTCTGATTGCTCAAAAATTTAGTTTAAAACTTCAATTTAACACTTCGCTGTCTAATTGTAACATATTTTTACAGCTGCTTTTGATGAAGAACATCCGTTTAACAGCCAATACTTTGCCCAGTATGAATATATTGTCAACTGGTATTATTGCAAATTACGCTTTATCAGTGACCCTCAGGAAAGGTTACGACTTTTTAACGAAGCAAAGGTTAGCTTCTTAGAACAATTTGGTTGTGTGGCAAATGCTTCTATAGCACTTGGAAATTATTGATTTGTATCAACATAATAAAAAATAAAAGCTAATTCAAATTAAAATGGCTTAATTTTTGAAATTTAGTACTTTGAAAAAAAATTGAAGCTTATGTTGTATTTGTGAAAAAGTACTAGTATATATAGGTGATGCAGGTTTTACTGTCATAGCATAAAAGTAGTAAAAAGTTGACGATAGCGCCGATACTGTATAGTTTGAAGAGGAATATTAATTAAGACAGTTTTTATTCTTTTTTCTTATTTTGCAGAAAAGGTATCAAAAAATATTCGAATTGTTAAAAGGAGTTAGCAATTCTGATAAAGTGCCTTCCTATCTACACTGGTCTCAATTATGCTATGAATATGCTGAACTTATCGATGAAGAATCACTGGAGTGGTGCAGAGATGGTGCTGATTATGCATTTGCAGCACTTCAACTCCTTGAAAGTTTGTTAAATGAACTTTCTTTTTTTAGTTACTGTTTTAGCTTCTTTAATGACAGTAATTCAAATTAGGCATATTCTCTAAGTAAGCTGTAAAAGCTGATAGTATAGCCTATTGTTAAGAGAAGATTATACTGTTTTTCTAATTTGGCTAATTAATATTTAAATAGTAGCAATAAGTGGAATAACACAATTATTTTTACCCAGGTTATTGAAGTGTCATTTTGTTTTAGTACCGTCAAGAGAATCGACACTTCCGCGTAGTCGAGATAGTGTTTCATCAACGGATTCGCAATCGAGCACCAGAGACCGTATTAAAGCGAAAAGGATTGAAACTGCTTTTTCACTTATTCAAATAAACATATTAAAAATTGAGAATGTACGAGCGACTGCTTTACCAGATCGAAATCGTGAAAAATATGTTCAATAAAGGTAAATATGACTTGTGTAAAATTATAATTTTCTGTGATAATCTTTGGTCAAATGCGCATTGATTTTTGTGAGTATTGGGTGTTTATTATATCTTCTGTTTACTGCGCTGAAAGCGCTGGTCATTGATGTTTAGCAGTAAACAGAAGTCTAAATCATAATTGTAAGTAGCTTATTTTTCTTTTTTTTTTTTTTTTTTTTTTTTTTTTTT